CACCAAGAAAGAGAAAGTAAGAAATGTGAACGGGAACACTAAGCCTTCATGTCCCATGGTAGGAAATCAAGATGCCTAAAGTTGATACATACGGAAATCGTATATAAATGTGCATTGCCAATTAGTGTTGGGCATTAGTGCTTTGGCAGCCGTTTACAAAAGCCTCACCCAGACTGTTACTTCACGTGTCCTCTCGGGGAGTGGAGGGGAAGGACCCCCCAAGGCTGCTAGGAGACCAGCCCAGAGGTCCTGCGTACTTTTCAGACATGGAAACTGAATTCCATTCTTCATCTCCAGTCCAGTCAGGAGCAAAGTGTCGTCTTTTAAGCTGCTTTTGTCCCAGATCCTTCTAGAACGGACACAAGAAGAAAAAGAGAGGTGTGTGGTGATGATACCAGTATAGAAACTTTCTCACTGGGCCAAGGCGTTCCCTCCTAATATTCCCTGCTGCAGGGGATCTTGGGAAGGATCAGAAGACACAAATGTTTGTTAGTAAACCCTGCGCATGTTGTCCTGGTTTTAGAGGGCAAAGGAAGGTTGCATTGGATGTCCCTTTCTTTAGTGGATTCGCGGCCACCGGAGGCATCCTTGGGAACAAAGGAAAAAGAGCCATAAATACAAACGAATCCCTTTTGTGCAAGTTGAAGAACCACAGGACATGCCCCGTTTTTTTTTAACACTCCAGGTGTGATCGGAGATGCCGCATCCACACAGGAGAGTGGGGAGTTAATTAAAGTTTTTGCTCCTGTTCCCAGAAATGTCTTTCCGTTTGATCAGCGGGCTGGCTTTGGAGTGCTGCGTGTGCGTCCCTCCTCACTGGAGTGTCACGGAAAAGCAGATCAGAGAGAGCCTTCCATCCGACGCCTGCCCGACCCCCTTTCCTAGCGCACGGACTTGAAAGCCGCTTCTGCTGACTGCATGGGGCCCGTGTCGTGTTTTTAGAAATGTCATCTTCTGACTATTGATAATATGCAAACCGACTTTGATACAGGTGCCTGTGGAAAACCGCATGAACTGTTAATTAAATCAATGCCAGCCCAGAGGGCTGGGCGTGGCAGAGACTGGCAGGGTGAGCCCCCTCACCCCCGGACCGTTCGTATTTCCCTTTTCCACCCGTCCTGTGACCGCCGGCTGGCAGCACCCGGGACGGAACCCTCGGCTGCCTCAGCAGGGCCATGTTTTGCTGTGTTTTTTGTTTTCCTTTCGGTCTTCATGGTTCTAGGCCCTCTGGCTGGCATCCCCCACCTTGAGGGGGAAAGCTGCTGGGGAGGAATCCTGCCGTCTTCCTCTTGACGATGATGAAGGAGGAGAAGAGCACAGAGCAAAGCCGAGCAGCTCGGGAACCCCGTCTGGGCAGGCGGGCCAGGCTGCCCCCGAGGTGCCCATTGTCTGGCCGCGCTGGGCGCGGAGGAGAGAACCCAGCCCAGCGCCGATGCAAGGGCTCCATCCTGCCGCTCGGGCTTTGTGAGCACCGCTGGTCCTGGTCCTGGTTGCCATGGTGACTGTCTTGATTGTGGCGGGCCTGTCACGGCCCTTGATAAAGTGGGAAGGCTATTCTTGATAGACCCGAGTAATCACAACCTCTCAAAGCCCGAGTGTGGGGATTTCACATTTTCTTCCTTCTGCTTCAATCCGGGATGCAGGGACGGGGGCCCGGCTTCTCAGGGTAAAGCGGCCCCAGCAGGCAGGGAGGGCCCTGCCCAGCGCCGGGGATGTACTGGCCAGGCGGGCCTGGCAGGGAGGGCCCCCGTGTGCCCGAGGGTGGGGCAGAAACGGGGTGGGGCCTGCGTGGGGGCTTCAGGGACGGGGCCAGAACGGACCTTCCCGTCCCCTCCCGTCCCCTCCGCGGTTGGTTTTTACACGGCCCGCCCTCCCTCCCCCGTCCAGCTGCCCCCGCACTGGGGGGCACTGTCAGTGCAGGGCTGAGCCTTTCAGAGCCCCCTGACCTCTCCTCCCCTCGTGGAGAATGAGGGGAGGGCTTAGCTTCCAGCTAACAGCAGACAGATTCTGGCCACAAATGCAGACTCTTCTGTCATCAGAAGAAACCTAATTGATTCTCTAGGCAGTCTTCTTCAGACTAAGTTGCATCTCAACTATTAGAAGTGTTCTTAAAAAAAATAGAGCTGCCATATGATTCACTCCTGGGTGTGTTTCCAAAGGAAATGAAAACGCTAATTAGAAAAGATGCATGTACCTCAGTGTTCGTAGCAGCAATATTTACAATTGCTAAAATACAGAAGAAACCCAAGTCAATAGATAAATGGATTAAAAAGAGTGGTGTATTTGTGTACACACACATACGCACTATATGTCTATACACACAGTGGAATATTACTCAGCCATAGAAAAGGATGAAATAATATCATTTGCAGCAACACGGATGGACCTAGGAAGTATTACGCTTATCAGTGAAGCAAGGCAGAGAAAGAGATGCTTTATGATTCCAGTTACATGAGAAGTCTAAGAAATAAAATGAATGAATGTAGCAAAGCAGAAACAGCCTCACAGACATAGAGGACATGCTAGTGCTTACCAGTGGAGAGAATGAAGCGGGGGGCAAGGCAGGTAGAGGGGATCAAGAGGTACAACCTACTATGTATAAAATAAGCAAGATGCAGGGGTGTAATGTGCAGCACACGGAATATGCGTTTTAGGATCACTTTATACAGAGTTTCCCCAGTGACTCAGCTGTAACGAATCCAGCTGCCAATGCCAGAGGCACAGGTTCAATCCCTGGGTCGGGAAGATCCTCTGGAGGAGGAAATGGCACCCCAGTCCAGTATTCTTGCTGGGAGATCCCATGAACAGAGGAGCCTGGCAGGCTGCAGCCAGTGGGGTGGCGAAGAGCCAGACATGACTGAGCGCGCGTGTGCCGGGCACGGCTTATGTGGAATATAATCTGTAAAAGTACGGGATCACTGTGGTGTACACCTGAAAACAACAGAATACTGTGAGTCGGCAGCACTTCTGTAATTTCCTTTGGCCACACCAGCACGCGGCATGTGAGATTTTGGCTCCCTGACCAGGGATACGTGCGGGGTCTGAACCACTAGACTGCTGGGCATGTCCTGGTCCCATGCAGCACTTTCATTAAGAAAAGAAGGAAAAAGCAGCCCCCTGGGCCCACCCCCAGAGTTTCTGATGTGCAGGTCTGGGTGGGTCCTGAGACTCTGTCTGCAACAGGTTCCAGGGGGAGGCTGCTCATGGACCGCATTTTGGGAGAGCCGCTGGCATGAGCCACGATGTCCTGTGTGCAGTGGGGGCTCCCGGGGACGCTGGCTGCAGTGGCCGCGCTGGGACAGGTGCCTGCGACGGCAGCTCTAGAGGCCCCTGGGGAAGCAGGGCTGCCCCCCCCCCCCGGCTTCTTTCTCCGGGCACGCACCCTGGAGTCTGCGGGACGGGAACCCAGCGGCAGGGCTGACCCCTCCCGTCCGCCCCTCCGCCAGCCTGCGGTCCTCCTGAGCGGGTCCTGCGGTTGTCCCGGCCGCAGGGACTCTGGACGCCTGTCAGGGTGCAGAGCCGGGTGGGGCTGCCCCCGGAAGTCCGCCTGCCTCTTGAGAAAGCAGGGTACAGGGTCAGGGGTGGGGGGTCCCAGGCAGGGGCGTCACGGTGGGGTCCTCTCCCCGTGGGAGCAGGACTGGGTTTTAAATTGAAAGACAAGCGTCAGTCCCCTCCTCTCCTCCCTCCCTGACTGGAAGTGAAGCAGGTTTCATCTACACCTTTAGGGCAGGATGTGTGACGCGGTGAAGGTCCCCGCCTGTGTGCCCACGCGTGTGTGTGTGTGTGTGACCGCGCTGGCTGGATGCAGTGACTCGATGTTCGCTCAGATGTACTTTAACCCCCACAAGACCTCTGAACCCGCCTGAGCAGCGCGCGTTCACGGGCCCTGGGTCTGTCCTGGCGGCGAAGTGACTGTGCTTCTCCAGTGACTCACGGAGGAGGCGATTTGTCCAAATGAGAGGAAAACAAACGCGTTAACCCCTCGGCTCAGACAGCACAGACCCGGGCGAGAGGGAGACCCCACAACGGCGCAGACCTGGGCGGAGGGAGACCCCACGACGGCACAGACCTGGACGGGTTGNACCATTCCGACTAGCTCTTCGTGTGCGTGACTCGTGGAATCCTATGGCATCAGCTCTCCACCTGAGGAAAGGCAGGCCCAGCATCTCAGATTCTTAACCACCCCTGCCCCGAGCACCCCCTCCCCACGTGGGCAGCCCAGCCTGTCGCGGGGCAGAGGAGGCCCAGGCCTCTCATTTGCAAGAGAAACTTAGCACCTAGTGTGTGCTCTGGGCCGGGCACAGTCTTATCTAGATGTACAGTCTCATTGAGTCCTCAGAGCATCTCAGGAGGGGGGATTGTTCGTTGTTTTGGGGATTTATCCCAGTCTTACCAACCCTCAAAGGCCTTCTCTCCATCTTCTAGGCTTGCTGTCAAACTAGTCCTCCTAACTACCTGTAGTTTGGTAAGCACAGATATCGTGCCCATTTTATAGATGAAGAAACTGAGGCTCAGGGAGGCTCCATCACAAACCCAAGGACACACAGCCAGCAGGAGCCTCAGCCTGCGCCTAGGTCCTCACTGGCCACCCATTCCGGGCCAACCAGGCCACCCCTCCCCCAGCCTCATCCCCAAAGACAGACTTGGAAGAGTCCCCCACCCCCCTGCCCCTCCCAACCCTGGTCTGGTGTTCACGAGGCCACTTTGTCGTCATTTGGCCAAGATGCCAGCTGTCATTTCACACCATGGGAAGGGCGGTTTTCAGACACAGAACTGTCTTTCAGGGGGTGCCCGCTTCTGTTGGGCCCACGAGACAGCCCCCAAGAAGCAAAGGTGCATGCTGTTGGGGGGCTTCATGACCTCTGACCTGTCCCTCGGGGCAGCCCCCTTCCCTCCCTGGGCGGCTGGCCTGGATGAAGTTGAGGTGGCAGCCTCCGTGTGAGGTCCGGGCCCCCGGGTGTAGCAGACTCATCCTCGCCTCCCGTGTGTGTGTGTTGCAGGGAGGGGACCGTGTCCACCAAGCAGGTCGTCTTTCTCCAGAGGCCGTGTCTACCTCAGAAGGTCAAGAAGAAGGAATCGAAGGTGAGCGACCTTGCCGCCCCCCTGGGCCTAGCTCCGCGGAACCCGGGCGGACCCCTGAGCCCCCCTCGGCAAAAATGAGCCACGTCACCTGCAGGTGGGGGCGCTGGGGTCCGCGTGGTCGGCCGCATCCTGCGAGGATGCTTGGGCGGGCAGGGTTCGCCTTCCCGGGGCTGAAGTGGGGGGCGCGGGGAGGCGGCTGCAGCCTGGGCGGGGGGGCCCACGCCCGGCTCCTCTGTCTTCGTCACCATGCGAGCTGGCCAGAGCTCGGGCCTGGCCCCCATCCCTCCAGCCGTCAGAAGTTTGGAGATCCTGGCAGAGAGAACGTGCCAGAACGCCTTCCCCAAAGGGCTCGCGCCGTAGGGCTGAGTGGCCGCGGCTGGTGTGGGTGCAGGGCGGCGCCCCTCGGGAGCGAGTCTGTCCCTGTGATGGGCACGGCCGCGCCATGGGGCAGAGCCGGCTGGATGCCCCCACCCTTCCCCGGGCACCGCCACCGGGCCTCCTCGCGTGCTGGGGCCCAGGGCCCCGGGCAGGCGCGCCAGGCCGTGGACAGGTTGGGGCCGCCCCTCCGCAGGCAGCGCGTCGGGGGCGGTGCGCGTGGTGGGAGGGACCCTGAGGGCGGCCTGGGGCCAGTTCTGGTGCGCGCTGGACCGTCACCGAGGGAAGGGCGGGTGGAACCTGGGCGGCGGGGTTCAGGACGGGGCGCCGGGCCGCTGTGAACGTTCGGCAGGGAGGGTCCGGAGGGCGGCGCCGGCTCTGCCGGGTCGGGAGAAGCGTCCACCGCGCCCCGCGCCTCAAGGCCCGCGTCCTCAAGGAGGCTCACTCAGCCCTGCGCCTCGCGGGGGTGGCAGGCAGTGGGCACTGCCCTCGCTGTGACGCGGGTCGGCCCCCGGAGGGCGGCCTGTACCGGCCCCGGCCCCCAGGCCCGCTCCTAAGCCCAGGGTTCGCTGTTCAGCTCCCGGGAGACGCCGGGCGCCCTCACACTGGCCTCGCCTTCCACCCCGGGAAGCGCCTTGTTCTCTCTCTGCCCCACCCACTGCCTCTTTGGGAGCTCTGCATCTCCCCACTTTCTCCTCCTTAGAGAATCTCCTGCACCCCCAGACTTAAACGCCCCGTGCCTACCCCTGAGCCTTCCCCACCGAGAGCGCCGGCCCTTCCGATGCCCCAGGCTCCCGCCCCCCTGGAGCTCACGTGGGCCCTCCGTCTCCTCCCCCACCACCAGTCTGTCCTGAAGGCATGTCTAGTTTTAGGCCCTTGACCCTCTGGAACCCCCTCTCCCATCATCACCTGCCTGGACTACCCTCATCTCCTGAGGACAGGCCTCCCTTTCAAGTGTGTTCTCCACTCAGAACCAAAGTGATCTTCTAAAAAAGCAGAGTCGTGTCGCCCAGCTACTTATAATTCTTCTAAAGCTTCGTGTTTTTCAGGATGAAGGTGGGAGCTTTTGCTGGGGTCCACATGGCCCTGTGGGGTGTCCCCGCACCCTGCCCCCCCATCCCACCCGTCTTCTGCATCCCGCCCGTCTTCTGCATCCCAGCGCGCCGGCCTGCAGGCTCTCTTGGGCTCCTCGCTGCCACAGGGCCTTTGGGTCCCTGCCCCTGGGATGCTCTCTTCCTTTGTATCGTCTCAGAACAGCATCCTCTCCCTTTAGACCAAGACAGGCTCTTCTGCGATTCCCTGGGAAGAGCCATGCTCCTCTCCTCTCTGTTCCTGTCTCCTCTCGGTTCCTAGTTATTTGTGATCAATAGCTTATCCTCTGCCAGGAGAATCGGACATTCCCTCTGTGAGATCACACCCTTTCTGTCCGCACTGCTGTATGCCCGGCCCCTGGCTTTTAGTTCGTACTCAGCGAACACCTGTTGAACCAGCAAATGAACAATCAAACTGCTGGACCCAGGACGTGCGTGGTGTGTGTAGCACTGACGTTTGAGGAAAAAGAGTGCAAAGTTCAGATGTCAAGGATGCGGCATATTTAGTCCTCTTTTAATCAACCAAGTGGATAAAATTCTCCAAACAGGACTTTCCAGTATTTGAAAGAAACCTCTTTGTTCACCTGTGAGTGTGGCTTTAAAAGCAAATATTAACTTCCTTTGAAGGTAAGACATGCTTTCTGCAACCCAGGAGACATCTGTCTTCAGCTAAACTACCGAAGTGGAGGCAGATACAGACAGGTTTTAAAACGTGTGAATTAAATCCACCAGCCCTGCTGACGTGGAACTCTGGACACGCACACACTGCTGTAAAGAGAACGTTCCCTTTCCTGCACTTATTTCGGGCACAGACGGCTAGTCGGGGTTTTCTCGGTTTCCGCACTGGCCGCACACCCTCACCCAACTCATGCCCTGGCCTGAGAAGGCCTGTCCACCCCGCTCCGTCTGCAGCAGCTGGTCGTGTTCAGAGACTCGCCTTGGAACCGCTCAGGACGCTACGCGTACTCCAGCCTGGCGGCCTGCCTCTGCGTGTGATGCCAATGACCTCTGCTCAGAGCCGCCCCACGGCAAGCTCTCCCACCTCGGGGTCTGAGATACAGACCACCCACCCTTGGACAGTGCGGAGGTTAATCTGAGTGTAATTCAGAGTGAGCCTCCCATATCTGAAGTTACCTGAATCCAAGGATGCAAGCAACCACTGACCTCGGAGCTCTGTAATTTTTACTGCTGAAAGCCACCTGCATTGAGGGGACCCATGTGGTCCCAGGGTCAAGTGTCCTTTTGTTGTTCCTTCAAGACTGTGACTGTCCCGAGCACAGCAGTGAGGGGAGCCTGCAGGTGAGGCTGGTGAGGAGGCCCTCCCACGGATTCCGGGCTGGGGCTGGTCGGGGCGTGGGGGGTGGGGGGAGGCCGTTTCCTGCAGTGAACTGGTGGTGGTCTTCGCTGTGCGCTTCTCACACTGTGGCCCATGAACCTGCAGAATCGGCATCACCAAGGAGCTTGTGTGAAGTGCCAGTCTCTGTGCCCTCCCCAGGCCCCCCAATCAGAAACCCCGGGATAAGGTGGGGGCCCTGTGTCTGAAGGCATCCCCCAGGTGATCCTGAACGCCCGTGCAAGTCTGAGAGCCAGTGTCTCGGCTGAATAGTTTAGGACCCCTTTCCAGGCTCACCATGTGGATCTCCATTCAAAATTTATCATTATTGATTTTTTAAAAATAGGCCTGTCAGGGTATGTTTAATGTAGATATATATATATATATTTTTTTTTTAATCAGACAAACCGAAGCATCTTTCATGGCAGTTAAATCTGTCCTTCCATTAGCTGACCGCTTGATTTCATGCATCAGGCCTTGACCTAGCAGATTCTGTCCTGATGCCGTGAAGTCTGAAAGCTGAGGCACTTAGGGGTGGGCTGAGCTATTCCAAAGGCGTGTGGCGTCTCCCCTGTCTTCGTGTCCTCCCTTCCTTCCAGAATGTGAGTCTGAAACCTTTTACCCACCAAGAAGGAGCAGACAGAAGATTAGTGTGGGGTCACAGAAAGCTGTGTTTCAATTTCANTGAAGTCTGAAAGCTGAGGCACTTAGGGGTGGGCTGAGCTATTCCAAAGGCGTGTGGCGTCTCCCCTGTCTTCGTGTCCTCCCTTCCTTCCAGAATGTGAGTCTGAAACCTTTTACCCACCAAGAAGGAGCAGACGGAAGATTAGTGTGGGGTCACAGAAAGCTGTGTTTCAATTTCAGCTCTGCTGTTTTCTAGCTGTGTGAGCTTGGTAGAGTTACTTCACCTCTCTGAACCACTACAGACTCATCATAAAATGGTGCCAACAGTTCCTAGTGAGAGCACTGCTTCGAGGATTCAGGGAGACGGGAAACCTTGTCACAGCGTGGGACACTCAGAACATTTAGCTTTTAGATTCTAGAGAGCCTGAGGTTCAGCCAGGTCTACTTCCCTGCCTTGTGAGAGTGCGCCCTGCAAAGGAGAGGGGGGAGGGGAGGACTCCAGCCGCAGCCTCCGGGTGATCCGGCTGCGGCCCCGGGAGAGCTGCGGCGGCTGGGGTCCCCCAGGAGCTCGGGGAGTCGGTGACATCACCACCCTCCATCTAAGGACAGACAGAATGGTGCCGTCCTTGAAGGCGTTTGACTTGGCAGAGTTTTCCGAAGGACAGAAAAACACGGGTAGGAGTAGTCCCATCCAGCTCGGCGTGGACAGCCCCAAATCCTCATCCCCCCGGGAGCCCGGGTGGGGGCCTGGAAGGAGTGAGCAGAGCGCCCCGCGCAGGCCCGGCCCGGCCGTGTCCTCCGTGGTGGTGCATCAGGAGGGCTGTGCAGCGTGATCCTCTGCGGGAATCCGGACCCAGCCGGGCGCATGGGGAACCACGCGTCTGCTGTTCACTTAGCAAGAGCAGCCTCTGCGAGGACATCGGGTTCGCATTAGAGGCTCGCCAGGGCCTGCCACAGCTAAGAGATCCTGCGTGCCACGGCTGAGACCCGGCACAGCCAGATAAATGCATAAATAATTTAAAAAGGAAAGAAAAAGCCAGAGTCCGGGTGGACTCTGGGCCCGGGGGGATGGGCACGGTCGTGTGCACCAGCCGCCTGCAGGGGGCGCTGTGAGTGGGCCAGCGGGCCCCCTGCACCCCACCGCGGGGTGAGGGGGATCCCCGGGAGTGACTCACATCCACTGCGGGTGAGTGGGTCCCCAGGGGTGTTCACCCAGCACCGGGGGCGAGGGCAGCTCTTCTGGAGATTACTCTCTTGCCTAAGGACAGTCAGTTCAGTTCAGTTGCTCAGTCGTGTCCGACTCTTTTGCGACCCCGTGAACGGCAACACGCCAAGCCTCCCTGTCCATCACCAACTGCCAGAGTCCACCCAAACCCATGTCCATTGAGTCAGTGATGCCATCCAGCCATCTCATCCTCTGTCGTCCCCTTCTGTTCCTGCCCTCAATCTTTCCCAGCACAAGGGTCTTTTCAAATGCGTCAGCTCTTCACATCAGGTGGCCAAAGTATCGGAGTTCCATTTTCAACATCAGTCCTTCCAATGAACACCCAGGACTGATCTTTAGGATGGACTGGGTGGATCTCCTTGCAGTCCAAGGGACTCTCAAGAGTCTTCTCCAACACCACAGTTCAAAAGCATCAATTCTTCAGTGCTCAGGTTTCTTCACAGTGCAACTCTCACATGCATACATGACCACTGGAAAAACCATAACCTTGACTAGATGGACCTTTGTTGGCAAAGTAATATCTCTGCTTTTTAATATGCTGTCTAGGTTGGTCATAACCTTCCTTCCAAGGAGTAAGCGTCTTGTAAGTTCATTGTCGCAATCACCATTTGCAGTGACTGTGGAACCCAGAAAAATAAAGTCAGTCACTGTTTCCACTGTTTCCCTATCTATCTGCCATGAAGTGATGGGACCAGATGCCATGATCTTAGTTTTCTGAATGTNCTAAGGCCCACTTGACTTCACATTCCAGGATGTCTGGCTGTAGGTGAGTGATCACACCATTGTGATTATCTGGGTGGTGAAGATCTTTTTTGTACAGTTCTTCTGTGTATTCTTGCCACCTATTCTTAATATCTTCTGCTTCTGTTAGGTCCATCCCATTTCTGTCCTTTATTGAGCCCATCTCTGCATGAAATGTTCCCTTGGTATCTCTAATTTTCTCGAAGAAGTCTCTAGTCTTTCCCATTCTGTTGTTTTCCTCTATTACTTTGCCGACAGACAGCTCCCAAATGCCAGAACCGGGGTTTGAACCGAGGTCTTAGCCACCACACTACCTGTGTTGTCTTACTTTGGGCCTTTCAGCCGAAGCAGTCTCACCAGGTTTTTTTTTTTAACAAAAGTACAACTTCCTCCAACTTCTCTGAGAGCTGGCTGGCTCTCAGCTCGCTGTATATTGACCAGCTTAACTGGCCTTTTTGTAAAACCATGCAGATGAAGAGAGTCTGACTATTTGGAGACACCCATTTAAAAAAAAAACTTCGTGTGGGCTGGAATTAAAACGCAGCAGCAGCACACGAGAAGGCAGCGGTAATGAAGGATGACCGCATGGTACCCAAGAGCCATGCAGGGCTGGCCCTGGAGGCCGCTGCGTCCGTGCTGAGATCCTAGTCCCCCACTGGTGATCGTGGGGCCCCAAGATGCCTGCTGCAGTCTTGGCTGAAGAATCTTCTTGCCTGGAGAATCCCATGGACTGAGGAGCCTGGCAGGCTACAGTCCATGGAGTTGCAAAGAGTTGGACATGACTGAGCGCCTAACACACACAACCTCAGCATACACACTTCGCTGCTTTTCCTGTTGGTTGATGGAATATCCAGATTTGCCGGTCTTGTTCTAAAGGGGTCAGCGCACTCACCCCAGGATGTGTTCCATCTCGGAGCCCTGAGTGTGTCCAGGCAGATGTCTTATTTGGGGAAGTAGACCTCTCCCGCTGAGAATGCCATGGAGGTGGCAGATTTTTAAAGAATTTATGCGATACATTTTTGTTTCTTCTTGGGAAAGCACACAGGTTTATCTGCAACGTGGTAGAGCCTTAGGAAATGGTTTTCCCTGGATGGTACAGCTGCCCGCGTGGAGCCTCACCAGAAGTCATTCAGACGGAAGGCTCCTTTCGCTTCTCTTTAAGTCGCAGAAGGGCTTAGCTCCAAGTCCGTGTTTGGTGACACCAGTGTGCTTCGACTCACGTGGAGAGAAATGAAGCAAAAGAAAGACGTGCAACTTCAAGTGGAGCCACATGTCCAGGGGTGGGGAGGCCGATGCCCTCCCCTGGGGTCGAGGCCCCCCGGTTCCCTTCCCTGTAAAGCTGAGTCTCCGGAGGGGACACAGCTCCCCACCCCGCCGGCGGAGCTCCGGGGCGCAGGGGCAGGCCACGGTCCCCGCTGAGCTGTTTGCACAGCGCCTCTCTTGTGAACACAGGGACCCATGTCTCTGCCTTCCTTCACGCCCCTCACGCCTCTGTGTCTGCCCCAGCTCTGCGCCCGGATTTCTCCCTAGTGCACAGGCTCCCAAACCGCCTCCCTCCCAGAGCGGCTCCTCTTGTCAGCAGGCTCAGCAGGACTTGGACGTTTTACTCCTGTTTTCTTCCCAGATTAATCTCTTTTTCTGGAGCTCCGCCAGACCTGATGTGGGGATGCACCCGCGCCTCCTTGCTAAAGCCCAGGCTGTGTTTTGACTTAAAATTACAGGACCGGCTTCCCCTGATGCGCAGGGCAGCCAGCTTAGCCGGCGCTGCGTCCTCCCCGTCATGTGTCTCACAAAGGGCTCTGAGCATCTTCTCCGCGTCAGGCTCCCTGCTGTATCCCTGGGATGCCGGTGCCGAAGACAGGTGGCGTCCCTGGCGCTCTGAACTGACATGCAGCGTCAGTTGCGGTGAACACACCTGGTGCATCATGTGCTGGATGGAGCGCCAAGCCTGACACGTGGATTGTCGCATCATCTAATGGACGTGAACACCTTCTACGGCAGAGCTTGGCTCACTGCGGCTCTCGGTCCAAAGGGGCCGGCCCATGCCTGATGTTGTCGATAAAGTTTTATTGGAACACGGTGACGTCGGTTTATGTATTATTACCTGTGACTGCTTTTGCGCTACAATAGCAGAGCGGAGAGGCTGCAACAGGGGACACATGGCCTGAAAAACCTGAAGTCCTTACTGTCTGACTGGATGCAGATAGAGGCCCCGCCCCGATTTAGTTAGAGGAGCTCCCCCGTCGTATAGATGAGCACGCGGCCGAGCTGGGTGGGCTCCGCCCTGGGCAGTCCCCCTCCGCGGCGTCCCTGTGACCCCGATTTCAGCACCTCCCTTCCCAGGCCTTTGGTATGGGGCCCTCTCCCCGGAAATTCACCCCTAGAGTCCATGCTGTGGCAGGAACTGCCAGCTCCCAGTGGGTGCGAGGTTTGGGCCGTGGTTGGGGAATAGCAGGCCTTGTGTGTCTGGCTGCCAGACGTGGGTGTGAATGCAGAGTTCATGTCCAGGGATGCTCCGGGGTCACGGAAGCTGCATGTATTTATCTCCCTTCTCCCCCGATCTCTAGTTTCAGTGGCGATTCTCCCGAGACGAGATGCGTAACAGGCAGACGAGGAAATCCAGAGGGAAACTCCGTGCCAGGGGCAAGCGGCAAGCTGAAGAAAGCGAGAAGAACCCAGAAGAGCAGCTTCCCAGAGCGGGAGACCTGGGGAGCCGTNGGAAACTCCGTGCCAGGGGCAAGCGGCAAGCTGAAGAAAGCGAGAAGAACCCAGAAGAGCAGCTTCCCAGAGCGGGAGACGCGGGGAGCCGTGCGCCCGGGCGGGAGGACTGGGCCTCCGCGGAAGGGGCGGCCCCCGGCTGGGCGGAGGGCCCCGCGGAGAAGCCGTGTCCCGACGGACGGCCGCGTGTAGAGGGCGAGGCTGTGCAGAACGGGCCCGCGGGCCCCAGCCCGGCCCCGGTGGGGGGCAGCGCCGGGCGCCCCAGCTCCGAACCTGGAGAGGATGCGGAGCCTGGAGAGGATGCCGGCACGGGGGTTTCCGCGGGGGTGGCTCCGGGGCCCGCGGCAGCCGAGCGCCCCTGAGTCTTGCTGGGCCGGCGGGCTGGGGGCTCGTGCGCCCTGGCATGGCGCGTTACCTTTGGCTTGGTGTGACCCCTCGTGGTGAGCTTAATGAGCCCTCCGAGGAGGGCCGGGTCCCCGGCAGCGTTGGTTTCTGCACATCCTTTTGAAATGTGTCCTGGGCTCCAGTGCTAGAACCCAGGAGGGCGGGTCGCTTCTAGACCTCGGGGCTGGGAGTCCAGCCCTGACTCTTAGCGCTCCTGGAGGGGCTGCACCACCCACGGTCTCCAGGGAGCCTCAGGCCAAACCCCGGGGCCTGCCTGGCTGCCCGTCAAGGCGGACGTGGTCGCCGCCCCAGCCCCCGCCCAGAGATGGGGGTCCAGCCCCTACTGGCGCTGCAGCTGCTGGGTGCTTGTAACACGCCCTGGAGCCCGGCCACTGCTTTCCTCTGTCTAACCCCCGGACCCTGCTGCTTTGGCAAAGAACGCGACATTGGGAGGGGAGGTGCCTCGCCTCCTCGCTTTTCTCTAAGTGTTCCCATAGATACTGGTGATCTGGAAACGCAGAGGGAATTCTGTGCGTGTACCCACTTCGGCAGAATGTCCATGAAAGTATTCTGTGTTCGTATTAATGCCAAAAAAACATTTAAGGTTTTGTCTTCAGCACACCCTAGGAACACACCTTCGTTCTGTTGTTTCAGGGCCAGCTGACTGGTGGGGAGCCTCTGTTGCGTGTCACTGTAATCAGCGTGTCCTTGGCCAGGTCGCTTCCCACGCGTGTTATGATGTGTTTATGTCGTAGAAAATACTGCGGAGGCTCTAAGTAGGCACAGCTGCAAAGCCTGGAGAGAGAGTGCCGACTGACGTGCCCAGCAGCCTGTCTCTCCTCTTTCTTGTTTAGTTACTTAAAGCAATAAATCACCTATGAGTTCAGTGCATTGTGAGTACCAGTCTTTCTTGACGTCACGCTGAAGAGTCCTAGCCTGGTGCCCGGACACCCCGACCCCTGGTCCCCTGGTCCTGTTTCCTGAGTCCCTTAACTCCTGGCAGCAGCAGGAGGAGCCAGCTGAGCTCGCTCTGCTTTCGTGTCATTTGTACAAAGAAGATGAAAGCGGGATTCAAGGGCCACCAGGTCAGTCAGGGCACCCCCGTCGCCCCAGGGTGGGGGAGACAGTACCTTTTTCAAGCAAAAAGCCCCACGTCGATTACTCAGCATGCCTCCAAGCTTTTTAAGTAAATTATTCAGTGTGCAAATAATTGATCTGTGTGCAGATACATTTTTATTTATTTTTATTTATCTTTTTATCTGTGTGCAAATTTGCTAAAATAAAACACATTTTAAATATAATTTAATAGGGCAGAATGGAAAATCCTAACACAGTCACATTGCACATTTTCCTTTTATGAGCAAACTTCCAAGCCTAAGCCCCAGAGCTTACGATAAAGGATGAAGACTGTTCAAAGAGAAGATAGTCTGTATTTCAGTTATGCACCCCCCCACACACACACAATCAGATTCTTTTCTTTTATAGGTGATTACAATGTACTGAGTAGAGCTCCTTGTGCTAAACAGTAGATCCTTGTTGGTTATCTCTTTTATATACCGTGGTGTGTATATGTTAATCCCAAACTCCTAATTTGTACTGTCTCATACGTAAGATCATTTGTATCATTTTTGTTTAAGATTCCACATATAAGCAGTACCACATGATGCTTGTTTTTCTCTGACTTACTTCACTCAGTATGATAATCTCTAGGTCCATCCATGTTGCTGTGAATGCATTATTTCATCCTTTCTTATGCTGAGTGATATTCCATCGTGTATATGTACCACATCTTCTTTGTCCGTTTATCTGCCAGTGGACATTTGGGTTGCTTCCTGTCTTGCCTATTGTGAATAGTGCTGCAGTGACAGTTGTGTACATGTATCATTTTGAGTTTGGTTTTCTCTGGATATGAGCCGAGGAATGGAACTCCAGAATTGTACGGTAACTCTGTTCTTAGTTTCTTAAGGGCCCTCCCTGCTGTTCTCTGTCGTGGCTTCACCAATTTACATTCCCACCGACGGTGTAGGATGTCCCACACCCTCTCTGGCATTTATTATTTCTTGACTTTGATGATGGCCATTCTGACAGGTGTCAGGTGATACCTCATTGTAGTTTTGATTTGCATTTCTCTAATAATTAGCAGTGTTGAGCATCTCTTCATGTGCCTCTTAACCATCTTTATGTCTTTGTTGGAGAATTGTCTATTTAGGTCTTGAACCCATTTTTTTGTGTGGTTGTTAAGCAAGCCGGTCTGTTTGTTTTTTTAATTGAGCTGTGTATGTGTTTTGGAAATTAATCCCTTGTTGGCAGCATCATATGCAAGTACCTTCGCCCATTCTGTAGGTTGTCTCTTTGTTTTACCTACGGTTTCCTGTGCTGTGCAAAGCGTTTTCATCACATTAGGTCCCATTTCTTATTTTCATCTATCTCTGACTAGGAGATGGATCCAAAAAGGTCTTGCTGTGATTTATGTCAGAGTGTCCAGCCTATATTTTCCTCTAGTTTTATATTAGTAGTATCTAGTTATATGTTTAGGTCTTTAATCCATTTTGAGTTTACTTCTGTGTATGGTGTTAGAGAAGGTTCTAATTTCATTCTTTTAAACGTAGCTGTCCAGTTTTCCCAGCACTACTTATTGACGAGCTTGTCTTTTCTACATTGTATATTCTTGCCTCCTTTCACATAGATTAACTGACCATAGGTGTATGGGTTTATTTCCTTCCCATCCCACTGATAATTGCTTTTGTGCCAGTACCACACTGTTTTGGTGACTGTGGCTTTGTAGTATAGCCTGAAGTCAGAGAGCCTGGTTTGTCCAGCTCTGCTTTTCTTTCTCAAGGCTGCTTTGACTCTACAGAGTAAAAGAATATGTGTACAAGCTTCCATACAAATTTAAAATCTTTTTTTCTAGTTTTGTGAAAAATGCCATTGGTAATTTGCTGGAATTGCATTCAATCTGTAGATTATCTTGGGTCGTATGGTCATTTTGACAATATTTCTTCCAATCCAAGAACACATTTTTCATCTGTGTCATCTTCAATTTCTTTCATCAGTATCTTATAGGTTTCCAAGTACAGATCTTTTGCCTCCTTATGTAGGTTTATTTCTAGGTATTTTATTAAGATTGTTTTTAAAACAAAAGACAGTTTTAAAGAAGATGTTTTTTAAAAATTATTTTTAAATGACATTTTCCACATTTATACTCACAAATACCTACACAGTATTTTGATTTAGTAAGAATATCACCTCTTAGCTCATATCTTAGAGGATTGCAACGCTTGAAAAATAAACTCCCAAAGTAGCAGGCGGGGACAAAAGCCACACCGATTCTTACAGCTCTGAAAAAGCACAGGATGCTGGCTGCATCCTCAGATGGATGCCTTAGATCACACATCAGGGTGTGTTTTTTGATAATTAAATGACATCTCTGCAGGCAGAATTTGTTGTGGAAAAATAGTCACAGGTGAATGTAGCTAATTGGAACTCCTGGGGGAATGTGGCCCCAGCACAGGGAACAAGGAGGTCTTGTTTCAGCAGGCTGCGCCACATTCCTGCTGCCATTTGGTCTACCTCGGGCAGGGCCCAGATTGGCAGCACCTTAGTCAATGGGCGAGCTTAAAAATCTCAGGACTTCCTGGAGGCCTGGTGGTTGACGCTGTGATTCTGATGCAGGGGGCACGGGTTCATTCCCTGATTGGGGAACTGAGATCCCACAAGTGGTATAGCAAAAAAAAAATAAAAGATCTCTGACACCTGGGGCCCTCCCCAGAGACTGGGGGGTTGCACCTGGGGAGTGGCCAGGCCTTAGGATTTGCAAACCACCTCCTCCCCACCCCTGCAAATTCTCTGGTGCAGCTGAGGGTGAGACGTGTGGTCACAGGATGGCCATGAGCTGACTCCCAGCTTGTTCCTTGTGAAATGAGCCATTTCTAATGAAAGGTGAATAAACCCCTAAATCCCACTCCCTTCCTCCTGCATGCGCCTGGTAAATATGGGGATTTCTGAAGGGAATTTTACATTGCCAAGGTTGCCAGTGGGGGGACAAGGCCATCTTTGGCATTGCCAAGGCCCCAGGATACCAGTGAAACTTGGGGGATTTGGTGAGAGGCTTGTGTGCGTGGAGATCAGTCTCCAGGGCTGCAGCTGTCACAGCAGGCCTGGAAGGAGTGGGGTGTTTGAGGTGATCAAGTGACGAAGAGGGGGGGCCCCAAGTAACCACCGTGGGCCCTGATGTCAGCACTGTGCAGCCTCGCGGGTTGTTCCTGACGCTCAGCCAGCTCATCCCAACAGAAGCTCTGTGACAACGCTCACAGTCCTAACGCATCTGCTGTTCATCAGTCATGTCCAACTCGAAGGCCTTGCGAACGCAGCCCATCAGGCTCCTTGGTCCACGGGATTCCCAGGGAAGAACACTGGAGTGGGCTGCCATTTCCTCCTCCCGTGTGTTTGTTACTGGTCTGTAAGTAACCAGACAGTGAACATCAGCTCAGTTGTGGTCGAGGTTTTTCAAACCTCTAAATGGATCACACTTCAGAGTCACGCTTGAGGGGACCGGCTTCAAGAGGACATCAGCAGGAGACGTTCTAATTCACTGCTTAGGAAACACAT